TTCAGTCTTCCGAGTAGCCGGAATTACAGGCATGCACTACCACGCCCGGTTGATTTTTTGATTTATTGTAGAGATGAGGTCTCGCTGCCCAGGCGGGTCTTGAACCCACGGGCTCAGGCAATCCACTCACCTCAGCCTCCCAAAGGCGCGGGATTACAGGCTGAGACACCAAGCCCGGCCTTACTGTTTATTATTAACTTACTTATTCTCTTTCTTGTTTTATTTTTTACAGAGACAGGGTCTCGCTAAGTTGTCCAGGCTGGTCTCAAGTGATCCTCCTACCTCAGCCTCCCATAGTGCTGGGATTTCAGGCATAGGCCACTGCACTTGGCTCAGAACATATTTAAAATAAAATCTCAAAACTACTTACAGAAGGGGAGAATGTTCTGCAAATTTTATCATATTGCAAAAGAATTTCTTCCTGAGTGATATTCAAAGTAGTAATAGATAAGAATATTGGGATCAGAGGCAAACACATTACTGGAGTTAGTGTTAGGATTCAAAAATACCAAGCTACAATTCTACAAATGTATGAGAAGAGCCTAGTACACAGAAGATATAAAGAACTCTTTCAGGCTGGGCTGGTGGTTCAGCCTGTGTTCCCAGGATGTTGGGAGTCCAAGGCGAGTGGACTGCCTGAGCCCGCAGGTTCGAGACCACCCGGGCAACTTGGTAAGACCTTGTCTCTGCAATAAATCAAAAATTAGTTGGGTGTGGTAGCATGTGCCGATAGTTCTGGTTACTTGGAAGGCTGAGGTGGAAGGACTGCCGGAGCCCAGCAGGTTGAGGCTGTGGTGACTGGGGGCATGCTACTGCACTCCAGTCTGGGCGACAGAGTGAGACTCCAACTCAAAAAAAAATAAAATAAAAGAACTCTTTCAATTAAATAATAATTTTTAAAAAAAAATTTGTAAATGGGCAAAGGATCTAAGTAGACACTTGCCCAAAAAAGATACACAGATGGCCAATAGTACATGAAAAGATGTTCAAAATCATTAGGCATTGTGGAAATGCAAATTAAAACCACAGTGACATACCAGGTTATCTCTACTAGAGTGGCCTATTATTGAAAAAAGAAAGAGCCACTCCCTTGGCTCCCCTCCCTCTGTGGGAGATTTTCTCAACCAATCTTGCTTTGAAAAGGAAAAAGAAAATAACAAGTGCTGGTGAGGACAGGGGAGAAACTGCAAGTCTCAGACATTGCTAGTGGGTATGGAAAATGGTGCCACTGCTCTAGAAAAGCTGGGCAGAGCCTCAAAAAATTGAGCAGAGCTATCCATCTGACCCAGCAATTCCTCTCCTAGGTATATACTGCAGAGAACTGCAAACATACATTCATATGAAAACTTGTAAATAAATGTCCATAGCAGCATTACTCATATTCAGCAAAAAGTGAATCCCACCCAAATGTTCATCTACAGATGGAAGGGTACACAAAATGTGGCATAATATAATATTCATTCTTCAGTCATAAAAAGTAATGAAGTAATGCAGTACTGATTCATGCTACAACACAGACAACCCTTGAAAACATGCTTAGTAGTCCTTGCGGCCGGAACCGCCATCTTCTAGTAATTCGCCAAAATGACCAACACGAAGGGAAAGAGGAGGGGCACCCAGTACGCGTTCTCCAGGCCGTTCAGAAAACATGGAGTTGTTCCTTTGGCCACATACAGGCGAATCTACAAAAAAAGTGATGTTGTAGACATCAAGGGAATGGGTGCTGTTCAGAAAGGAATGCCCCACAATGTTACCATGGCAAGACAGGAAGAGTCTACAATGTCTCCATCATGCTGCTGGCGTTAACAAACAAGTCAAGGGCAAGATGCTTGCCAAGAGGATTCATGTGTGTATTGAGCACATGAAACACTGGAAGAGTCGAGATAGCTTCCTGAAATGACCAGAAAAAGAAGGAAGCCCAGGAGAAGGGCACGTGGGGGGTTCAGCTGAAGCGCCAGCCTGCTCCACTCAGAGAAGCACACTTTGTGGGAACCCATGGAAAGGAGCCTGAGTTTCTGGAACCTATTTCCTATGAATTCATGGCTTAACAGGTGTCAAAAATAAAAGATCTCTAGATCCCAAAAAGAAAAGAAAAAGAAAAAAAACATGCTTAGTGAAAAAAGCCAGACACAAAGAGCCACATCTCTACGGTCCTGCTTGTAGGAAATGTTCAGAACAGGCAACTCTAGGGAGACGGTAAAGAAGCAGCTGTCAGGAGCAAGGAGAGGGGAGCATGGAGGGTGGCGACTGACAAGTGCGGGCTTTTCTCGCGATGATCAAAGAGTCCTGGAATTAGATGGTAGACTAGATGGTGGTCACAATGTTGTGAAAATACTACAACACACCCAACTGCATACTTTATTTTATTTTATTTTTTTTGAGTCAGAGTCTTACGCTGTCACCCAGGCTGGAGTGCAGCGGCACACTCACAGCCACTGCAGCCTTGACCTGCCGGGCTCAGGCGATTCTTCCACCTCAGCCTTCCAAGTAGCTGGAGCCACAGGCGCACACAGGCGCACACCTGGAGCCACAGGCGCACAGGTGCCACCACACCCAGCTAATTTTTTATTTATTGTAGAGACGAGGTCTCATCAAGTTGCCCAGGTTGGTCTCAAACTCCTGGGCTCAGGCAATCCTCTCTGCCTCCCAAAGTGCTGGAATTACAGGTGTGAGCCACCATGCCCGGTTTAAAATGTATACTTTAAAAGGGTCAATTGTATCTCAATAAAGCCATGACTATAAAAACAAAAATAAAATAAAAAGTCAACAGATACTTCATTTGTGATTCTCAGTACCTGACAAGGCAGAGTCTAAAGGACAAAAAAAAAGAAAGGAATTGAGGGACTTTAAATTAACAAAATGTAAACTATTCAACTCCTGATTGTTAGTAGAGTACAGACAGACAAGTATGATCTAAAATAATAACTATTTATGTTTGGCGGTATAATTAATATCAGCATTAAGATTTAAATAAAGGGACTGTCCAACATTCTGAGCAGTCACTCTGATGGCAAGAGTTTGAAAGTGGATTTAGGGACATCTGGCATCTTTTGTTTTTTTTTTTGAACTGGAGTCTCACTCCATCGCCCTAGAGTGCAGTGGCACACCCATGGCCACCACAGCATCGACCTGTTGGGCTCAGGCAATCCTTCCGCCTCAGCGTTTCCAAGCAGCTAGAATTAAAGGCGCACGCTACCACACCCGGCTGGGTTTGTGATTTTTATTGTAGAGACGAGGTCTCGCCAAGTTGCCCAGGCTGCTCTCGAGTCGCAGGCTCAGGCGATCCGCTCATCTCGGCCTCCCAAAATGCTGGGATTACAGGCCTGAGCCACCGTGCCCGGCTGACATCTGGCATTAATGGGAACATTTGCTGAAAAAGAAAAGGGGACCAAGTCGCCGAGAAGCCCCTGCTAACTGCATGGCGCCTTCTGGAGTGCTGGTCAGTAGCCGCCTTCAGCCTCACCTCCACACGCAATCACAGAAGCCTAAGCTGCACTATGCACAACTTTTTGAAGTTTCATGGATTTGACACATGTTTTCGAGAGTCTCACATTCTGTACCTAAAATGTGTTAGTTTATATACTTTAAAATATCTCACCTGTATTATTTATTAACTATAGGGTTAATAACTTATATTCCCAGTTTGCTGTATTTCTAAAATTTGCCCCCAAAACAAAAGGTCAGATGGTCTTATTTTAGTAAGCTATTTGACAGTATATCCAACTGCAGTTGTATATTTTGTAGGAAGTATTTAGGCAAAAAAAAAATCTCAACACCTGCAGATTTCAGTCCTAAACTATGAAGAAAATTTCTAACTCTTCATCAAATAAACGACACAGTAAGGCTGTGATTCTTTTTTTTTTTTTTGAGTTGGAGTCTCACTCTGTCGCCCAGACTGGAGTGCAGTGGCCGCTCCCAGCCACCACAGTCTCGACCTGCTGGGCTCCCGCGATCCTTCCTCCTCAGCCTTCCGAGTGGCCGGAATTACAGGCATGCACTACCACGCCCGGCTGATTTTTTGATTTATTGCAGAGATGAGGTCTCGCTGCCCAGGCGGGCCTCGAACCCGCGGGCTCAGGCCATCCACTCACCTCGTAAAAGAGCCACGATGCTGCCTGGCTTTCCTGCCTCGTGCCCCTGACTCACTCAGTTCCCTTGAGGCACACTTCCTACTCCACATTCATGCGCACACGGCCTTAGACCAAGGCCCAGCACCAGCCCAAGCCTACTGCAGCTCTCCAGGCCCTTCTTGGTACTGCGAAAGCAACCAAGACATTCCAAGAATTCCTTCCTGGGGGATGTTCAAAGGAGGAATAAATAATAAGAACGGCTGAGGTAGAGCAGGGGCGGGGGGTTGAAGAAATCAATGGAGTAGGTGCTAACGTTTGGAAGAAACAAGCTCCAGTCAAGAGATGAACTCTGAGAGAAGCAGCCAGCACTCAGGACGGTAACAGATGACCTACTCAACAGTTTCCCACACCTCCTCAGCCCCTTTGAGCCCTTTGCCTCTTGCTAAGGTTTTGCCGGAGAACAAAAGATGCCCTACAAGATGCAGAGGAGACAACAGAAGCCCTAGCCATGATACCATATGTGATCCTGCCACAGAACATGGGAGCTACCTACACTGAATGAGTGGAGGGAATGGAGTGGCTGTGTAATCCCCGCCCCGGAGCCCCAAAGCTGAAATCCCAGAGTTCTTGGAATTAAGAAAAAGGGCTCACAAAAATGAAAACCTGCAGACAACGCCAGACAAACAAACTAAAAAGGCTCAGTTGAACAGAGGAAAAAAGGCAGGCGTTGACGCCTCTCGTCCTGGCCCCACCGTCGACCTGCTCACCTCATTGTTCATGTAATGTAGATCGAGAGGTTGCCCAAACACTGTTGTCACCTTGTGCTCTACATCTTCGTATCTCACAGGCCGGCCAAACGCTATAATTCTGAAAAGGAACAGAAAAGTTGGTTACCTGCGTATTTAAAATGCAGAGGGCCAGGCACGATGGCTCACACCGGTCATTTCAGCACTTTGGGAGGTGGAGACGGGAGGACTGCTTGAAGCCAGGAGTTCGAAACCAGCCTAGACACCACAGCAAGACCTTGTCTCTACAAAAAGCTAAAAAATTAGCTGGGCATGGTGGCACATGCCTGCAGTCTCGGCTACTCAGGAGGCTGAGGCAGAAGGATGGCCTAAGCCCAGGAGGTCAAGGCTGCAGTGAGCCGTGATCACGCCACTGCACTCCGGGCTGGATGACGGAGATGCCAACTCAAAAAATAATTAATTAATTAATTAATATAAATAATAAAATAAAATGCAGAGCTTAGAAAGCAATGACTTGAGTTCAGTCTCCTTTCTTCTCAACATAGGATTCTCTTTTTTTCTTCACTCAGCTTGCCTTTCTCTCTCATTGCTGCTTTTCTTCCCTCGTATCTACCTTCACCTTCTCGCTGTCTTTTGAGCACTTCTCAGGTCCGACAACAGGACCCACGGACAGTGCTCAATCCCAACCATGTGTCCCACCCTTCAGTTTAGGTCCTCCTGCCTATGACAGGATCACAGCGGGCCACTGGATTAAAAAAAACTATGTTCCAAATGCTATTGTTTGTTTTTGTTTTTGAGTCAGAGTCTCACTCTGTCACCCAGGCTAGAATGCAGTGACACAATCACAGTTCACCAGTCTCAAGCTCTGGGGTTCAAGTGATCCTTTCACCTCAGCCTCCCAAGTAGCTGGGACTACAGGTGTTTGCCACCATGCACAGCTGATTTTAAAAAAAAAACTGTTTTTTGAGAGATGAGGTCTCACTATTTTCCCCAGGTTAGTCTCTAATTTCTAGGCTCAAACAATCCTCCCACCTCAGCCTTCCAAAGTGCTGGGGTAACAGGCGTGAGTCACCATGCTAGGCCTCCAAATACTCTTGTTAGGAAATAAGCTCAAAAACCTAGAAACTGGAGGGAGCCTCAGTCCTGAAAACGTGATCTTAACTCCTAAGGGACTCAACTTCAGGCCTGGAAAGGGCATTACCAGGTTCATTTTTGAGATGCTATAGGAATCTCAATACCGACTTTCCTCAGAATTAAGTTTTTCTACTAAAGTCACAGTAGCTTGTCTTGAGTAGGTAATGTGCCTGATCAGTCTCCTTACCCAGTAGCATATCTGGGCAAGAAGGCAGTATTGGTATTAAAGTTTTGCTAGGGAGACTCATTAGATCAGCTCAAAGAACAGTAATATAAGGTAATCAAGAAAAAACAAAGAACCTAACAGAAAAACAGCCAAAAGATGAGAAATTCACAGAAGAGTTAAGAATGGCTAACACACACCTGAAGAGGTGGTCACTGTGCCAGGTAAAGTGCACATTGACACACCTTGTCTCCAGCATCCTCGGGGATACGAGAGCAGCAGCCTGCAGCCAATGGCCTCTGCACAGCCTGTCCCCTATATGCCGCTAGAAGCGGTGGTTGTTTCTTGGCTTCCCTGTTCCTCAGAGTAGGCAGTAGTGTGACCAGAGGAAGAAGCAGAAAGCCACAGGAGAGAGGGATCTAAGTCACTGGGTTTAAAAAGACCTGGCCAGATATTTGCTTTAATGCTCCTCTGTGTCAGGCTAGCTCAAATCTGTGAGCAGCACCAAGGCCTCCATGCACTCCATGACGGCACTACTCAGTGTAGCAGCCACTAGCCCCGGGGGCTCTTCAAATTGAACGTCTCTTCGTGACCAGCCTGGGCAACTTGGCAAGACCTTGTCTCTACAATAAGTCAAAAATTTAGCCGGGCATGGTGGCGTGCACCTGTACCTCTAGCTACCTGGAAGGCTGAGGCGGAAGGATCGCTTAAGCCCAGCATGGCATGGCTGCGGTGGCCATGAACGTGCCACTGCACCCCAGCCTGGGTGACAGTGAGACTCCAACGAAAAAAAAAAATATATATATATATATATATATACACACACATATATATATACACACACATATATATATACACACACACATATATATATACACACACACACACATATATATATACACACACACACACATATATATACACACGTACATTAAACGCCTCACCAACCCAGTTCAAACACTCACTTGCCATATATGCCTAGTGGCTCCTGTACTGGACACTGCAGATAGAGAATACTTCCATTACAACAGAAAGTTCTACTGGACAACGCTGATAGTTTATTGTTATAAACCACAAACTACCCTTCACATAAAGCCTACCACCTCAAGGAAGGTCATTCCTTCACAATTCTTCCTTTGTCCATCACTACCTTCCATTTTTGGAAATGATATTGCCAATTATGTTTGTCTCCATTAGGAAATCCATGCATACTGCAATCCTTTTTTTTCCTCTCAAATCAACTGTTGCAAGCAGTAATACTATTATCACTATCTAAATGGGGGTGTTTTCTGGAGCTTTTTGAGAGAATGGTTTTCATTAATTCCTAATAGCATATCAGACCCCTTTTTTCAGGGCCTCAGCTACAGTTCAAAAGGAGCCAGCCTGGATGGGTGCAGTGGCTCATGCCTGTAATCCCAGCACTTTGGGAGTCTGCAGTGGGGAGGCTTGCTTGAGGCCAGGAGTTCAAGACTAGCTGGCAACATAGCAAGACTCTGTCTCTACAAAAAATAAAATAATTGGCCAAGTGTGGTGCTGTGTGCCTATAATCTCAGCTACTCAGGAGGCTGAGGCAGGAGGATCAGTTGATCCCAGGAGTTCGAAGCTTCAGTGAGCTATGATCACGCCACTGCACTCTAGCCTGGGAGACAGAGTGAGACTCTGTCTCTTAAAAAAAAGGGAGAGAGGGGCAGCCTTTCTGGATAAAATACCAGAAGTCCACTCAGGTATCCCCAGTATACTACTGAAAAAGGATCATGCTCAGAGATAAATTCTCCTGCATTTGGCCTAGCGATGAATCATTCAAAACCCACAAAGGCAGCCTAAAAGTCTGGTCACGATCAGGGACCAGGTCTTCCAGATTAGTGAAATTCAAGCTGCTGCCATCCATCGACTCACAGGTACTTTTAGACAGCGCTTCAAAGAGAGGTCGAACAGCAATGACAACCACCCCATCGGCACCCTGTCATCAAGGTTTTCAAAGGGAAGGAGATCTAGTCTGCAGTTCTCCGCCTAGGCCCTCCCGGGGTTAAGAGGGCGGAGGGCCAGTGATCTGGCCTGAAGCAAAGGGAAAGGCAGCCCCCTAGAAGCCTGCCATGGATGAACAGGAAAGGTCACTACCTCTTTCCTCTTTTCTGTAAATTCTAATTCTAAAAGGTCTACATTCAGATAGTTACTACCCACATTCCCTGTAACAAGTAAAGACAAACCACAATGATATTCCCTGTCCACTCCTAAGACATGAAATACATGAAACGAGAGGTGTCTGGCACAGAGCACTAACTCTGTCGGTTCCCTGTGCCAGTTTTGTGAAGTCCTCCGTTCTACCCATGGTGTACAAACAGTGAGCTGCCATGGCTCCTACAAACAGCTCCATAAAGAGAGAATGCAGTTCTCAAAACCCTAACAGCAGCATGCTGCTGCTTGGGGTTTCAGAAGGCCATTCCTTCCTGATCACCTTAAATATCTGTGGTTTCAATCTGGCAGCTTCTCTGAAACCAAACACATATACTTTCTCAGTATAAGTCCGCTGGCTGTAACTGCATACCACTCTGGGAACAGGGAATTCAGGAGAACATAACTGTATAATTAGGTTCCCATATAATCGAGCTTTTGATTGGAAACTCTGCTGCCCAGAGCTTGGCTATCCCTCTAAAGCCCAGTCAGGTCAGAAAGTGTGAACAGCAGCAGCAAGAAAGTGACTATCTGACTTCCCTGCTACTGGCAGGACACAGAATAAGCACCTGGGCACAGAGTCTGGAAGACCTTCCTCCCTGCAGGACTGGAACAGTCCTAGAGCCCACACGGGAGCAGCAGGATCCTGGATCTGCACACTTCCCACAATGCTCCATGGGCAGCCTCGACTGCCCTGTAGGCATGTGGGTATGACTTCCCGAGGCAGGACAGCAGCCACAGACTATCCCTGGAGCTAGCCTCAAAGTGCCGAAAGATGTCAGCCGCAGAGGACAACCAGAACTGAAAACTGCCGCTGTCACTAAGGCCCTGCCGGTGGACTCCTAACATATGAAGACCTTCTCCTCATTGCATGCTCTTCACCTCCCCAAATGCACAAAGCAAAGGAAAAAGGGGATGGATATAGGTGAGAGAGAAAGGCAAAGACAGGGAACACATACTCAATCGAGGTACATTTATGTGCATATGTGCCATCATTCTGTATGCCTTTTTTTCCTTTGAGTCAGAGTCTCACTCTGTCACCCAGACTGGAGTGCAGTGGTACACTCACGGCCACCCTAGCATCGACCTGTTGGGCTCAGGTGATCCTTCTGCCTCAGCCTTCCAAGTATCCAGAACTATAGGTGTGCACTACCACACTAGGCTCATTTTTTTTTTTTTGATACATTGTAGAGATGAGGTCTCACCAAGTTGCCCAGGCTGGTCTCAAACCCCTGGTCTCAGGTTAATCCTCTTGCCTCGGCCTCCAAAAGTGGGAGCTACCGCGCCTGGCCCTGTATGCTTTTTTTTTTTTGAGTTGGAGTCTCACTCCGTCGCCCAGACTGGAGTGCAGTGGCCGCTCCTGGCTACCGCAATCTCGGCCTGCTGGGCTCCGGCGATCCTTCCGCCTCAGCCTTCCAAGTAGCCGGAATTACAGGCATGCGCTACCATGCCCGGCTGATTTTTTTTTGATTTATTGTAGAGATGAGGTCTTGCTGCCTAGGCGGGTCTTGAACCCGTGGGCTCAGGCAATCCACTCACCTCAGCCTCCCAAAGGCGCGGGATTACAGGCTGAGCCGATGAGCTCGGCTCCCTGTATGCTTTTTAAACATTTTTCCTTAGATAACTTGAGAAATTAAATGGAGTCACTTTTTTAAAAGAGGGTCTTGCTGTCTCCTGGCTGGAGTACAGTGCAGTGGCAAGATCACAGCTCACCCAACTCACCGCAGCCCCTACCTCCTGGGCTCAGGTAATCATCCTGCCTCAGCTTCCCCAGTACCTCCTCCAGGTACCATCATGCCCGGCTAATTTAGAAATATTTTAGTAGAGATTAGGTCTCACTATGTTGCCCAGGCTGGTCTCAAACTCCTGGGCTTAAGCGATCCTCCCACCTCAGCCTCCCAAAGTGCTGGGATTTGCAGTCACAAGTCACTGCATCTGGTCTTAGAATCCCATTTTTCTCCTCTGAGAACTTCTATCTTGGCTTCCCACGAAAAAAATAACAGGAACAATAACTAACATACTGATGATGGAGAAAAGGACAGAGAGTTTTGTAACATTACTTTCATTTACACAGGCTGAAAAAACTCCCTCTTTCCATCTCCTTAAATGATCTAAAATCTTTCACAACTGAAGGACTTGGTGCAGCTACAGACATCATGACCTACAGACACCATGAAGAAACTTCCAGTTCACCACTTGGCCCCATGTGTGGACAAGGCCAGAGTCACTCCACCGGACACATGAGAATCCTGTCCTCCCTCTCACCGGCGGCAAAGTGTCAGTGTGTCTGCAAGCCCTGACTGAGAAGAGCTGCAGTCCTTATGCCGAACAAAATGACACTCCTCACAGCAGGGGAGCACAGCAGAAGGGCGAAACATCAACAGCTGAAATGACTCCCAGTCCTGAGACCAGAGCAAAGCTCAGCTGGGAGGCTAAGACAAGGGTGCGACTCCTCTTTCTGCCCTATCCCCCCCATTTCCCAGCCAGTGGCCCCACGGGGATCAGGGCAGGGCAATGGCTTCCACGGGCACGATGCTTTCTGAGACCCTTAACACACTCGAAAGCAGCTACTCGTCCAAAGGCAGACTTACCGCCTCTCCCCGTTGTGCTCAAACTTGATTCTGACGTCACTCTGCCAAAAGGAATGATAGACAGGTTAGAGGCTCCTCTGGAACACGTCACTCCTGTCATTCCCAGGTAAGCCTTGGCCAGTCCTTCAGCAACAGTGGGCAAGCATTCCCGATGGCTCCTGGTCCAACTTTCCCATCCAGACAGGCACTCCTTTCCAGTGAGCCACAACTTCTGGTTCTCACCTCCGGGGCAGCGAAGTCCTCAGGACAAGATCCCAGTGGCTGCCCCACCTGCTATGCTCCAACATGCTGTTTCCAACCTCTCAGACTCTCTATCTCTACAGCTGGCTCTGGAAGTTTCTCCTACTATATTACCTCCTGATCAGGAATCCATTCCTTCTCGGCTGCTGTGACAGCAGAGAAAAAAGAAAACTTGCAGCTGATACTTTCTAGTTACATGACCACAGGCAAGTTACTTACTCTCTGCGAGTCTGAGCTTTTTAATCTACAGCGTGAGGTTAAACACACCTCGCAGAGTCTCTACAAGAACTAAACAAGGTACCTGACACATAGTAGAATGCAGTCAGTGGGCTTTGCTGCTGCTGCTGTTGGTATTAATACCAGAGATTTCCCATGATCCTCCCAAGGCTACTCCAGTGGGGGTACGGTAGGACTCTGGACAAATCGCCTTATACACCGTGCCCAGCGTTTTCCAAAATGACCATCCTGAGTAGCCTGTAAACCGCAGGAGGGCAGAGACCAGACCTATCTTGTTTCTGTATCCCCAGTGCCAAGCACAAGCAACGGCATATTCCATTTGTGTTTAATCAAATTTGTGAAGTGGATGAACTGAAGAACATACTGAGTGTAAAGATCAGAAATAAGAAGCAGCAGAAGTGTTAGAATGACAGAAAGCAAATGAAGGAGGAAAAGATATTGCAACAGGCAAACAAACAAGTGGAAGGGGTTGAAAAAATGACAGGAAAAGGAAAGAGATAATACAGAAGAAAAGAGCAGGTGTAGAGGAAAAGTAAGATTGCCAGGAAAACAGAAAACAATAGAGATGAAGGAAGAAAGAGTTCAGAGTCAATGAACAAAAATTATACGGAGAAAGACAAATTAATAGGCTATAGTTTGGAAGAAAGAAGAGGGCTTACGAATACCTGGAGCTGAGGCGCATACAGCAGGCAGAGCCAGGGACAAGAGAGGGAGAGTCAGCAGGCAGATGGGCGCTGAAGGACTCCCTTTCCCAAGGGACTAGGGGCTAGACTTCTCTTCCAGTGAACTGAGCTGGAACACTCTAGAAATTGCTAAAGACCCCACAGAGCCTTTGTTTATACAGATTATATCTGTTGATATTTACCACATTAGAAGTTCAAACTAGGAAAATCTACATGTATTTTATTCATTTAAAAATAGCAATTTAGCTGGGCTCGGTGGCTCCGCCTGTAATCCCGCGCTTTGGGAGGCTGAAGTGAGTGGATTCTCTGAGCCTGCGGGTTCGAGACCCGCCTGGGCAACTTGGCGAGACCTCATCTCTACAATAAATCAAAAATCAGCCAGGCGTTGTAGCGCGCGCTGTAATTCCGGCTACTTGGAAGGCTGAGGTGGAAGGATCACCTGAACCCAGGAGGTCAAGGCTGTGGTGGCCGGGAGCGTGCCACTACACTCCAACCTGGGCAACACAGTGAGACGCCAACTCAACAACAACAACAACAACAAAAATTACACATTAACATAAATACATTTTTACTTAAAAAAAAAAAACTACATTGCCAGGCACAGTGCCTCAAGCCTGTAATTCCAGCACTTTGAGAGGCCGAGGAGAGCAGATTGCCTGAACCTGCGGTTCAAGAACAGCTGGGAAGCTTGACAAGACCTCATCTCTACAATAAAAATAAAAAAATTTTCCAGGCTCAGTGGCTCAGCCTGTAATCCCACACCTTTGGGAGGCTGAGGTGAGTGGATTGCCTGAGTCTGCAGGTTCGAGACCCGCCTGGGCAACTTGGCGAGACTTCATCTCTACAAAAAATCAAAAATTAGCCGGGCGTGGTAGCACGTGCCTATAGTTCCAGCTACTCAGAAGGCTGAGGCGGAAGGATTGCCGGAGCCCAGCAGGTCGAGGCTGCGGTAGCCGGGAGCGGCCACTGCACTCCAGTCTGGGCGACAGAGTGAGACTCTAACTCAAAAATAAATAAATAAATAAATAAATAAATAAAATAAAAATTAAAAAATTAGCTGGGTGTGGTAGCGCATGCCTGTAGTTCCGGCTACTTGGAAGGCTGAGCCCAGCAGGTTGACACTGGGGTGGTCATAAGCATGCCACTGCACTCCAGCCTGGGCAACAGAGTGAGACTCCAATTCAAAAAACAAAAATTACATTTTTCCAAAAACATTTAGTGAGAGAATGCAATTTTCTTTACTGCATGGCTAAAGACAGCTGCACTCTCATCTCTGCTTCTGCTTTCAATCTGTTTGATAACACATCATGTAGCCTCTGGAACACTCTACTGTGCATTCTTCAGAGAATTAACGTGAAAAGGATAAATAAAATCTTAGTATTTTTTTTTTAATTGTAGAGATGAGGTCTCACCAAGTTGCCCAGACTGGTCTTGAACCCCTGGGCTCAGGCAATCCTCTCACCTCGGCCTCGGGCATTAAGCATCCCGTACTAAGCATTTTCCTAAGCAAATTTACGTGTATGAATTAAACAATCCTCACAACAGAAGCCATGACTATCATACTTATTTTACAAAAGACACTGATAAAGTGAAGCTAAGTAAGTTCCCCCAAGGTCAGGTCACATAGATTGTCAAGGAACGGGAGGACTAGAACCTGGAACCCTGGCTCTTAACTACGCTGTGCTACGCCGTGAGCGTCCTGCAGGTGCTGAGCGTAGTTCCTGTACTGGCTTCTTTTCTCCTTCCCTGGACAGTTGAGCAGCTCCCACGGACGAGCCTCCGAAGCCTGGCGCCCATGACTCAGCTGTGCTCTGCGGGCAGCCTCCTGCTTTCCGCCGTCTGATTCCTCGGCTGGCTCACAGAACCCCAAGTGCATCCCAAAGCCTATAGCCCTACCTGTCCCCCTTGGTGGGCACCACATCCTGTCACCTGCTCCCACTTCAGCCCAGCACAGCTTGGTGGAGTTCTCATTATGACTTTTTAATTAATAAATTTGATTGGTCGGGTGCAATCAAATTTGGTTCAGCCCGTATCCCAGCACTTTGGGAGGCCGAGGTGAGAGGACTGCCTGAGCCAGGGGTTCGAGACCAGCCTGAGTAACTTGGTGAGACCTCGTCTCTACAACAAATCACAAAAAAACTAGCTGGGTGTGGTGGTGTGCATCTGTAGTTCTAGCTACTTGGAAGGCTGAGGTGGAAGGAATAAAACTGTTCTAAAAATCAAATGTATTTGCTTATTTATTTACTTATTTACTTATTTTTGAGTCAGAGTCTCACTCTGTTGCTCAGGCTGGAGTGCAGTGGCACGCTCACGGCCACTACAGCCTCGACCTGGGTTCAGGCAATCCTTCTACCTCCGCCTTCCAAGTAGCAGGAACCACAGGCAAGTGTCACCATAACCGGCTCATTTTTCTTGATTTATTGTAGAGTCAACGTCTCACCATGTTGCCCAGACTGGTCTCGAACTCAGGGGCTCAGGCAATCCTCTCACCTTGGCTTCCCAAAGTGCTGGGATTATAGGCATCACTGCACCCAGCCTAGAACAGTTTTAGAGTTACAGACAAACTGAGCAGATACAGCAGTTCAAGAGTACCCACAGCTCCTTCTCCCCCTCAGACAGTTTCCCCGTTTAATAACAGCTTACATTAGTATGGGACATTTCTTTTTGTTACAATCAACTAGCTAATATTAATATATTAATTAAATTTCATCGTTTATTCAGATTCTCTCAGGTGTATTTTTCTGTTGACTTTTTTTTTTTTTTGAGTTGACGTCTCACTCTGTCGCCCAGACTGGAGTGCAGTGGCACGCTCCCGGCTACCAGCAGCCTCGACCTGCTGGGCTCCGGCGATCCTTCCGCCTCAGCCTTCCAAGTAGCTGAAACTACAGGCGTGTGCTACTACGCCCGGCTGATTTTTTATTTATTGAAGAGATGAGGTCTCGCCAAGTTGCCCAGGCATGCCTTGAACCGGAGGAGAACCGGCGGACTCAGGCAATCCACTCACCTCGGTCTCCCAAAGCACGGGATTACAGGCTGAGCCACTGAGCCCAGCCGTTTTCTGTTGATTTTTATCTAACTTTTTTTCATTTTTAAAAATTGTGAGGCCGGGCGCGGTGGCTCACGCCTATAATCCCAGCACTTTGGGAGGCTGAGATAAGAGGACTGCCCACGAGCCCACGGGTTTGAGACCAGACTGGGTAACTTGTCGAGACCTCACCTCTACAATAAATAAAAAAATTAGCCAGGCGTGGTGGCACGTGCCTGTAGTTCCAGCTACTTGGAACGCTGAGCCCAGCAGCTTGAGGCTGCGGTGGCCTTGAGTGTGCCCTGCACTCAAGCCTGGTGACAGAGTGAGACTCCAACTCAAAAAAAAAAAAAAATTGTGGTAAAATACACACAATAATAGCTCTCATTTTTTTTTTTTTTTTTAAGAACACGAGTCAAAGTTTTATTTGTTCATTTCTTGCATTTGAAGCACTCTTCGATGATATCCTTGGCCTGAGATTCTTTGCCTTAGTCCTTAGCCACTACACAACTGCAACCAACTCCTTTACATGTTTTCCCTCTCTGTCAATTTTACACAAGCCTATCCATTCCCCTAGTTTCTTGTTGCCATTAACCTTAATTAGGTTGATTTGGTTTTCAGCCCAAAGGGCCTCCACCAACCTTACGTACAGTCTCATCACAGTTGGATGCAAGCACACAGAGATGGGCCTGGCACTCATCTAAGGCTTTGGCAGCTTCGTGACGTCCCCATGCTAGGCCGTAGTGGATGAAGGTGGTCTTTAGCACCTCTTGTAAAGCAGTGTTCACGTCCATTATACCTCCAGCAGCAATGCCTCCCTCAGCCATGGCGGTGGATTACAGGAGATGCTGAATCT